CAGAAATTTTGTGCGCACTCCGATGATAGCGGACGGACCTCGATGGTCAAGCCGTAAAAAGGCAGAAGATTCTGGGGGCATGGTCAGAGTGCCTACCCCTCCTGCCCATCCGCCCGGCTCAGCCGGAGCGGAACAAGAGAGCCGCCGTGATATACAAGATGAGCAATCGAGTCCGACACAAGTGCCGTCGGACGAAGGAACGTCACACATTCGCGATGATGGGACAAAACATGTTCCCAAAGGCCGAGCTCCGTCGCCACCGGGGGCCTCAGGCCACCCGGAAGCACAAGAAATGGACGAATAATCGGAGGACTTTTGCACAAAGTTTCCGCACGAGAAAGATCCTCAATTTCTGGAGTCAATGGATGACGAAACTTTTCCACATGGACCGGCGTCGACGAATGTGTTCCGAAGATTGTGCCTTCCGCCTACTCCAGATAAAAGACAGGGGCGGCCGCAGTTCAGGGATCCTTACGATGGGGGCCGAGAAGTAACGACGGGGCATGCTGCTGAATTTAAAGAGAAACGATTGTATGTGACAACAGATGAACGCCATCGCATACTTCAAGCTACACCTGGGCCTCTAAAGCAGATGCTCCAGGATGCCCATATCACGGGCCCTGTGCCACCCAACGTCGAAGCCATCCGTAAGCAAACGGGAATCACGCTTCGATACATGGCAGAATTTGTGGAATGTCCAATCTTTGCAATATTGGCAGGTCTCAATCAAGACGACGGATCTTTCGCGCATGCAAAGGATTATATGAGAGCCGAGTTTCATTCCGATGACTGTCCTGATGGATATTCCCAGGGCGCCTACGCGCGCTTGCGGCCACTTATAGTTGGAGAAGATGACGGTGAGAACCCGGCTGCCTTAGGCAGTTCGGACACTTGGAGTGGCCTGAGTTTCCGAGCGGATGATTTGGCCAAAATAATAAGTCAATGTGCTGTATACATCGCGAGGCACTGTTCGGATTATGCTAGATCGTCAGGAGGCTGGGTCTATTTTGGAGACCTGGTGCAGAAGTTATATGATGACGGTTTTACTTTCCAATCATACGCCTTGGCTGCACACAGCTTAGTTGCGTTGCCGGCAGGGACAATCGATGTTCTGGGGATTCCCCCCAAAGACAGCCCCAAGATTGCTGGAACACTAATCCACGCTCTGTGGGACAAACACAATAAAAGATCTCTACAAAAGATCAATGGAAGAGAAATGCCCATACCGATATTCTATAGGGCATGTCAGGGACATTCAACGTTTACCGCTTCGATTGAAAGAATGTATGTCCCGTATGACCCTGGCCAAGTCAGGAGTCACGGATCTCTTCTATATATTGCGAGCCTACAGGCATTTTTGGAGTCTACGAGTGGAAATGCTTGCTTTCCAAAGGGCAACTCTGGGCTGTGTCATGCCGCAGATTACGATTTATTGCGTTTGCTTCCGGCACACAACTGCCCAACGTTGCCTGACCCCTCGGATTTTCCTCCGTGGCTAAGCCAAAGGAGATATGGACAAGCGCCCACCATAAAAACCGTAGCATCTATGGGCAAACAGGCTCGGAATGGGGAGCCGTCGAAGGTGGGTGCCTTGAACGTGGAAGACATACGCCACCTCTGGCCATGTCTCCCCAATCTCAAGCATCATGAACAATGGGATATTATCCTTGTTTTCGCTGGAAGAGTACTCACCCGCTTCTCGTACAGAGTATGCCCAGACGGGACATTGGTGTCCCGGGAGGTACCGAGATTCACAGACATCGACAAAGCCGTCTCACTCGTGAGGCAGATGAATCAGATGCGCTGGGCGGTACTCTTCGACCGCGAATTGTCTTCATACGAGGTCACTTTCGACAACGCGTCGATTATTGATTGGGTTTATACAGACGAGAGACTGATTATTAATTGGGACCACGAACCAAGGTTGGAAACCTCGATTCAAGATCGAATTATATCTACCCCGTGGAATGACGATGGGAGATTTCTTTGTTTCCGTTACCACTGGGTGAGGACGGGTTTTGCCAATTGTCCCGTCTGTAATTGCCCAATCCGATATAAATATAGGGTTTCACATGATTACATGACCCAGACATGGAGGTACAAAACTATCCCGCAATCCCTTGAGGCACATGGTATTTGGATAATTGTGGAGGATCAAGGAGCTCTGTCATGGGATCGCCATGTATATATGGATGCGCGGATAAGAAGACAAGGGCGAGCTTCTGCTAACGTTGCGAAAAACGTCGCCAACAACAATCAGCAGGAGCGAAAATGGGAAACCAGCTTTGTCACAATGGCGGCTGCTGGCACAATATTTGGCAACGGCCAGCAGGGAAACATTCCAGCTTGGATCCCAGAAAACGCCGAGGCTCAGCCTCCGGCGCGACACGCTCCTTTCTTTCAATACTTAAGGCCTTTGGTCAAGAGATTTATATCGTGGTTAGAACACTCGGCCACAAATGTGCAGAGGCGAGCCCCGCCTATTAACAAATGGTGGCCAAAATTGTGGGCGACTGGTTTTGATCAGCATGCCCGCCCCAGGTCCTGCCCAGCACTATAAGCATTTCACTGGCCTAATGAACCAGATGACTTGATCACTCCTAGGATTGGCTGGGAACAATGGTTCAACAACATGAGGAGAGCAAACCTCTTCGTTCCTACACTTGCCACAGTGGATGATGCCATACAGTTTGACATGTCATGGTTCGGCGTATTTCCTGAAGATATTGGAAACAACGCCAACAACGACAACCCTCCTGCGAGGTTACCAGTCGCCCGGGAGAACAGTTTTAGAGCACGACCGACTCGCAGTTCTCACTCCGTTGCAAGACGGGTCGGCATGTGTCGGGATCATCGTCTCATAGTTCCCGCGTTGCGACATGCCTCCGGCTCAGCCGCGAGGGCACGTGAACAGACACAAATGGATCTGGACCTCAAAGTGATCAGCGGGCCTAAGGCTGCGTCGATAACTGACGGATTCCTCACTCTTGATGAACCTGAGGGACACGTATACTTCCATCATGAGGACCATCTGATTAAAATAAGATTGTTCGGGGACGAAGTTCGAGAAGTTGCCGCTCATTACATAATTTAACACACGGGAATAAACCCTACTACGCCCGGCAGGGTTACCCTCACTGGAACGGCGGACTATGCGATCCCGGCGATCATCAAGAACATAGTGGATGACAATTGGTTAGTACCAACACAGAACATGGAACTGGGCCTTAGACCCATAAGGATTTTCGCAATTAGTCGTGAGATAATCAGCTATTTCATATCGGAGGACCATTTCATTGGTTACCCGGGGCGAATCATTCGTCCCGAAATGATGAGCACGGATCAAATCGAATCAAAGAAACGAACCGACGCATATGCCTTGGACTGCCGAATTCGTGCGGTTGTTGAGACAGACGACATTATAGAAACATGGGCCCGCAAGATGGGCAGGAAAGCACAGAATGACGTCCGCCACCATGGTGCTATAATACAGGAGGCCATAACTTGGCTACAGGATCAGTATCCTGACCCCGGTACCGATCTTCAGGACAAGGAAGATGGTCTTTTCCGCACTGCATGCGGACTATATGGTGTCGCTGCAGCAACTGCTGCCAGAAGTATATTGCAATTTATGAACGGTAGGGATAATGACCCTGAGCACGACGGCGAAGCCGAGATCGTGGGGCCACGTGTGCCTGCTGGACCAAAGGCAAGACCTTTGTCTCGCACGCCGTCTCTTCGACCTGGCATCTCAGATGCTCAGGCGTCTGAGGAGGTTACTGGTTCCCCGCGTTCTGTCGCCGGCTCAGCCGTGCCGACCAGAGGCTAACCTAGAAGATCCCAAACGCGAGGGATCGGTCGGATTTGCGACGCGCGCGCGATGCAGCCATGGATGATGCCTCTGTCGCGGCCGCCGATGATGCCGCCGGCCTTGCGCTGCCCGCGGCGGTCAGCGCCGCAGGACACGGCTCCACATGCGACCCTGACCAGTCCTACCCGACCCACGTGAATGGAATCCCTGTTGGATATCACCTCCATCGGAACAGGATCACGTGGCTTAATAACGATGAATGGTACAATTTGCCTTACTGGACCTGGCTGTCAAAGTGGGAGCATGAGCATCATTTCCCGCCGAGGGAGGCGGCACAGGTTGCAAATGCTGACAGAGAAGGAGGGCGGTCTCGCACGCCTCGTGGCATGGACGCGCAGACGGGAGGATCGGCGACTTCAAACCCGCCGCCTCCGGCGCCGCCCAGGCGAGAGAGCACGTGGAATCCGCGGGGGGTCCTCAACTGAGCGCGGCCCGCGTGACTCCGTCCGCGGCATGCGCACGCCGAACACTTTACCCACGCGCTAAGCGTGCTGGGCGCGGACCTTTCTACTGGTCGGCTAAGCCGGTCCAGCGGGGAATTTATAATTATAGTGGGAAACGTCGAGCCTCTTCGGCCCTTGGCCCCCTGGCAGCCACCGTTGAGCCGTAAAAGGCTTTTTCGGGTTGGCTCCGTTGGTTGTGCAAATGCACAGGCCGAGGGTGCTGTGGCTGGATGGGCTCTACGCGGCCCGCCGCGGGGGGAGTAAATATGCTCCTCTCCGCCTCATACTCAATTAGAACTTAACTTCGTTTGCATGCAACGAACTGTCCGCGTGAACTGAATCTGCGTTTCTGCAGCTGTATAACTGCTCAAACCAGCCGACCTCGGCTGGCAGGAGAGAAAAGGAGCGCGCTGGGGCGCGCGGGCGATTCGTCGTCGTCCGTCCTCGGCCTTCCACCTCCCTTCCTATTCCTGATAGAGTGGTTTAGCTTAACGGATATCTGTCTTACCAATGTCTCATCCCGCCTCCGCTCTCCCTGAGCAGAGTGAACATGAGATCTTAATTCCTTTGTCATCCTACCCCGAGTCTCAGAGGAAAGACTGGAGGAGGGCGCGATGGAGGAAGAGGAAGGTGCTTCCTTCCTCCTCGCTCCTCGCAAGTCGCGTTTGGCTTGCCATTCGGCCGAGGTGGACGAGTCGGAAAGCCGCGCCATGCGGTCCGCGCTGCGCATGGGAACTGCGCTGGTGGAGCTGTCGGACGGGCTCTGCCAGCAGCGGACCGTGTACTTGCTGCGGTCCTTGCTGGAGTGGGCCTCATTTTGCTCTTCCTACTCCGTCGCCTCCTCTCCCTTTTTCTCTTTATCTGTATATGGATGTATATGTTTTGTTTGTTGCTCGCTCTCTCCATATATATACATATATATATATATACAGTTGGTTTTTCTCTCCCTCTCTCTCTCTCCCTATCTCTCCCTGTCTTTTGTTTGTCTCTCTCTCTCTCTCTTGCTCTCTCTCTCTCTCTCTCTCTCTCTTGCTCTCTCTCTCTCTCTCTCGCTCTCTCTCTCTCTCTCTCTCTCTCTCTCTCTCTCTCTCTATATATATATGTATATGCCTCGCCCCCCCCTCCGCTTCATCCGCCTCTTCCGCGTTGCCTGATCCCCCGCCTCCTTTTTTGTTGTCTCTCTCTCTCTCTCTCTGTCTTTCTGTCTCTCTTCTCTCTCTCTCTCTCTCTCTCCCTTCTCTCTCTCTGTCTCTCTCTCTCTCTCTCTTTCGTTCTCTCTCTCTCTCTCTCTCTCCCTATTGTTGTTTTTTTCTCTCTCGCTCTCCTCTCTTCGAGAGGCTTGCGCCATTCCGCTAGCCCCCAGACGAAGCGAGGAGCCCATAGGGCGAGCCACGGTCTTCAATGTCGTACGCGCTCGCATATGCACGTGAAGGGGATCGCCAATCATCTCGAGCGATTCTGCCGTCCTGGGAAGCGGACGTCGGCGCTTCAGTCAACGATACAAACGCTCCGCTCTTCTATGGAGAGTTTGCCTCCGCTGAGGGGCGGGTAGGAGGGCGAGAAGAAAAAGGAGCAGGAAGAGGAGGAGGAGGATGAGGAGGAGGAGGAGGAGGAGGAGAAACTGAAAGAGAGAGAGAGGGAGAGAAAGAGAAACCACAAACAATAGAAGGAAGCTTAACGAGACAGAGGTAGAAAGAGAGATACATATATATATATATATATATATTATATATAATATATATACATATACACATGTTCTATATGTATATATATAGAGAGAGAGAGAGAAAGGTAGGGCGCATATGAGGGTCTCGTGGGATGCCCCTTCTGGGGCCCCTTGGAGGCATCAGGGGGTCGTCGGGGAGCTTCTCGGGGGGTTCTTTGGGGCCTGTTCTGGGGCGCATCGAGGGCCTCGTGAGGTTTTCTTGGGGGCCTCTTGGCGGCCTTTTGGGGCTCCTTGGGGGCGCCTGTCAGGCCTCTGGGGGGCTCTTGGGGCCATCTTGGTGAGACAGACTCGAAATCTTAGTTCGTATTCCCCCTCTCGGAGTGTGGGTGTGGTGGTGGTTTCGGGGGTCCTCTTCGGCAGGGGGAGAAGAAGGAAACCAGAACCGGAACCAGAACCAGAGCGAAAACCGGAACCAAAACCGAAACCAAAGAGCGCCCGAAGAGGACAAACACGAACCGGAACCGGAACCAGAACCAGAACCAGAACCGCGAAGAATCATGGTACCCCAAAAAACCAAACCAGAACCACAATCGGAATTGGAACCTGAACCAGCGGGCCGGAAAAAAGGACACCGGAACCAGAACTGGAACCAGAACCAAAGCCGTGACCAATGGGGTCTTCTGGGTCCGAAGAAGAAGGAAACTGGAATCAAAACCAGAACCGGAACCAGAACCTGGCTGATCATTGTGACCGACCGAAATAAAAAAGAAACCAGAACCAGAACCAAAACCAAAACCAGAACCGTGACGCGAGGGGTCTTCTTCCGCACCCAGAAGATCACCACCCACCAAACCACCCCAACCCAACCCGAAGGCCTCAATTTGGCCTCCATCTCCAGTGGGGGGGGTCGGGGAACATTGACAAAAACACAGGCGGAGCCCGTACCCCCCCAACCCGAAGTTCGGGTCTTCGGGTTGGGTTGGGGTGGTTTGGTAGGTAGTCAGAAGAAGGAAGCCATAACTGGAACCATAACCGAAACATATGATCGTGATTTGGGTTTTTCTTCGAGGCTGGAAGAAGAAGGAAACCCAAACAGGAACCGGAACAAGAACCTTCATTTCGGGGATCTTTCTCCAGCCCAGAAGAAGAAGAACGAAACTCGATTCAGAGCCGGAACCAGAACCAAAACCGTGATTGGTTTGTGATTGGTTTAAGCTCGGTGAGGAGGAAAAGAAGGAAATTGGAACCCAAATCAGGACCAGAACCATAATCTGGCCGATTGTGACCGACCGAAGAGAGAAAAAACACCAAAAACGAAAACAACCGGAACTGGAACCAGAACCAGCAAGAAGAACCGTGACTTGGAGGCCTTCTTCTTCCGCACCCCGAAGAAGAAGGAAACCGGAACCAGAAACATAACCGAAACCAGAATCGTGATTTGGGGGGCCGGGACCGGAACCGGATTTAAAACCGTGACATGGGGGATCTTCTTCCAGGCCGGAAGAACAAGGAAACCCGAATCCGAATCAGAACCGAAACCAGAGCCGTCATTTGCGGGGTCTTCTTCCGGGCCGGAAGAAAAGCGAAACCGGAACCATAACCAGAACCAGAACCAAAACCGTGATCAGGGGGGTCTTCTTTGGGGCCAGAAGAAAAAGAAACTTGAACGGGAACCAAAACAGGAACCAGAAACGTGATTTGGGGGGTCTTCTTCCAGGCCAGAAGAAGAAGGAAACCCAAACCTGCACTGGAACCATAATCAAAACAGTGACTCGGGGGGTATTCTTCCAGGCCGGAAGAAGAAGAAGAAGAAGGAAACCCAAACCGGAACCAAAACCAGAACCGTGACCAGAAGGGCTTTCTTCGGGGCCAGAAGACACAACCAACCTAAACCAGAACCGGAACCAGAACCAGAACCGTGATTTTGGGGGTCGTCTTCCAGGCTGGAAGAAGGGAGAGATCCAATCTGAAACGGGAACCAAAACCAGAACTGTGACCAAAGAGTTTTCTTCAGGGCCGGCAAAAGGTTCTGGACACAGAAGTAGTTGAGGAGAAGGTTTGTTTCGGGTTATGTTTGGGGACGACGTTTGTTAAGCATCGGGTTGTGTGTTGTACACGAATGTGGTGGAGTACCTGGGCTTTGTGTTGGACACGGAGGGATTTGAGTATAAGAGCTTTATCAAGGTAGGTTTGGGAAAGGGGCCTGTTGAGTATTGGGTGGTGCGTTGTGCACGAAGGCTGTGGAGCTCCTGGGTGTTATGTAGGAGGCGGGGGTCCGAGTTTGGCTCTGGGAGGGAACCTGTCGATTATCGGGTGCGGCGTTGGACTCGAAGGCTGTGGAATATTTGGGTGTTGTGTTGGACACGGAGGGAGCCGAACAGAAGGGTTTTTGAAGCCAGGCTTTGGGAGGGAACTTGTTGAGTAGTTGGATGTCTTGTTGTACACGGTGGGAATTGGGTAGAAAGACGTTTTCAATTTCGGGTTGGGGAGGGATCCGGTGGAGTATCGGGTGGTGTGTTGCAAGCGTAATTTGTGGAGTATTGGGACGTTGTGTTGTACACGGAGGGGGTTGAGTATACGGCGGGTTTTTTTCAAGTGAGGCTTGGCGAGGGAACCGTTTGTGTAGCGGGTGCGGCGTTGGACACGAAGGCTGGGGGGGACTTGGGTTATGTGTTGGACACGGAAGTAGTGAGTAAGATTGTTTCACAATTGGTTTAGGGAGGAAGTTTGTTGAGTATGGGGTGGCGTGTTGTACACGAATGCCGTGGTGTACTTGGGTCTTGTGTTGGACACGGAATGAGTTGGGTAGAAGGTTTTTTTCCAAGTTCGGCTTGGAGATGGGACCTGTTGAGTATCGGGTGGTGCGCTGCACGCGAAGGCCGTTGGGTACCTCGGCGTTGTGTTGGTTACGGGGGGAGCTGAGTAGAAGAAGTTTTCAGATTCGGCTAGGGAAATGGCAGTGGTTGAGCATCGGCTGATAGATAGTACACGAAGGCTATGGAGTACCTGGGTGCTGGGTTCGACGAGGAAGGGTTTGAAGATAGATTTCCCAATTGAAAAAGTGATTTAGGTTTTGGGAGATAGCCTGTTGAATGTCGGGTGCGGTGTTGGACATGAAGGCTGTAGAGTACTTGGGTGTAGTGTTGGACGCGGAACGAGTTGAATCGACATATGGTTTCGAGCTTAGCATGGGTAGGAAACTTGTTGGGTATCGGGTGGTGTGTTGTACACGAAGGCTGTGGAATACTTGGGCTTGCGTTGGACACGGAGAGGGTTGACTATGAGGACTTTATCATTCTAGGTTTGGGGAGGGGCCTATTGAGTATCGGGTGTAGTGTTGCACACGAATGTTGTCGGGTACTTGGGCGTTGGGTTGGAGAAGGGAGGGAGTAACAAGATGTGTTTTCGAGTTTGGTTCGGGGAGGGAGCCTGTTGAGTATCCGGTGTGGCTTTGGACTCGTTGTGTTCGACGCGGGGGGGGGTGAATAGAAAGATTTGTTCAAGCTAGGCTTGGGGAGGAAGCTTGTTGAGTATCGGGTGGTGCGTTGTACACGAAGGCTGTCCAGTACATGGGTGTGCGGAGGCGGAGGGGGCCGAGCATATAGTTTTGTTCCAGGTTAGGCTGGGGGAGGGATCATGTTGGGTATCGGGTGGTGTGTTGTATGCGAGTGTTGTGGAGCACCTGGTTGCTGTGTTCGACACGGAGGGATCTGAACTCAATTGTTCACTACTGTTTTAAGCTAAATTGGGGAGGAGGCTTGTTGAGTATCAGGTGGTGTGCCGTACACGAAGGCTGGGCAAAAATATCTGTTTCAGTTTAAGCTTTGGAAAGGAGCCTCTTCAGTATCAGGTGGTGTGCCGTACACGAAGGCTGAGCATAAACATTTGTTTCAGTTTAAGCTTGGGGAAGTAGCCTCTTGAGTATCGGGTGGTGTGTTGTACATGAAGGCTGTGAAGTACCCAGAAGTTGTGTTGGACACGGAGGGAGTTGAGTGTAATGTTTTTTCGTTCGTGGCCCCATAGGGAGCTCCATCCAAGGCCCTAGTGGCAGGGCTTACATGCGTCCCCGCGATTCATTTCGGCACACCCCTCACACGGTTCGTGTCCCCATAGGGAGCTCCACCGAAGGCCCCAGTGGCGTGGTTTACATGCGTCCCCGCGACTCATTTCGGCACACCCGTCACACGGTTCGTGTCCCCGTAGAGAGCTTCACCGAAGGTCCCAGTGTCAGGTTTACAAGCGTCCCCGCGATTCATGTCGGCACACCCTTCACACGGTCCGCGGCCCCATAGCGAGCTCCACCAAAAGGCCCGGGTGTACATGCGTCCCCGCGATTCGTGTCGGCACACCCTTCACACGGTTCGTGGCCCTATGGGGAGCTCCACCGAAGGCCCCAGTGGCACAGTTTGCATGCGTCTTTGCGTGTCCGATCCTGGGAAGGCTTAGTGCAAGTCTTGGAGGGCAATTTTCGTCTACTGCCGCCTATTTCTAATGTTCAGATCTTTCCCCGCGCGGCTCCACCGGCGCCTTCGCGCATCCTCGACGCGCGTGGCGCCGTGTGCGCCTCGAGAAACTGATCTCGCACCGTGCGCCACGGCGCGCCAACAGGTGCCCAGTGCGACCTTCGGCGAGAAATTCCCGAGATCCTGACGACGAAATCCAACGTGTCGCGTTGGGCCCTGGCGCCCCCCAGATCATGTCATGCTGGCTGCCGAATGTAAGCTGGCGGTCGTGCTGCGGCGATCGCAGGCCAGCGTAGTGCTCACAGGCACAGCTTGGTGCTCTTGCGCATGCTGCGGCACTCGCAGGTTAACGCGGCGCTCGCAGGCCCGTGGTGCTCGCAGACACGCTGTGGTACGGTGCTCGCTCGCATGTCGTGTCGCTTGCGGGGCACCGCGGTGCTCACAGGCGTACCGATGTACAGAGCCGTCGTAATTTCATTCGCAGCCTGGTGGCGCCACAAAGGGGGGCCCGCAGACCGGGCCGGTCTGACCCTGCTCGTTGCAGCTCGTTTTACGAAGCGTTGCTTTTTCACTTGGCGACGTTTTCACTGGCGAATTGGTTGGGGCCGATGTGCGTGGAACCATTGGCCGCGCATAAAAGAATGTGCTCTCAGTTGTTCATCCCTTTTCCCCCTTTCTACCCTGCAGGGGCAGCAAGAGGAAGAGGGTGAGAAGGGGGAAGAGGAGGTGGAGGCGGAAAAGGAGGAGGAGGAGCAGCAGGAGGAGGAGGAAAAGGAGGGGGAAGAGGAGGGGGAGAAGGAGGAGCAGGAGGAGGAGGAGGAGGAGGAAGAGAAGGCGATGTTAGAGGGGCAATGAAGAGGAGGCGGAGGAGGAGGAGGAGGAAGAGGAGGTGAAGGAGGAGGAATAGGAGAAGAAAGAGGAGGAGTAGGATAAATCTAGCGGTGACAGTGATGGCGATAATGGTGATGATGATGATGTCGACGATGATGAAGATAAAAGCGGTCTTGCATGCGCCTGACAGGTTGGTCGCGTACCAGTATGATAGACATGCGTGCTTCGATGACGTTAGGTGGCTTCTTGCGCTTCTATGGCCTCCTGGGAGCCTTGGGGCCGAAGGCTCGACATGTCGTTTGGTGTTTTCCACCTCGGGAGCTTCTTGTGGCCCTCTGAGGGCCCTCTTCGTTCTTCTTGAGTGCTTCTTGTGCCGTTTTGGGCCGTTCAGGGACACTTTTGGCAGCTTCGATCTTCGCGCGCCTCGGCCGCCCCATCCAACGATTCGCTGGGCGCCGAGTGCCAGTCCAGGGGAGGCAAGAGGGGAAGGGGTGCACCGCGGCCCAATGGGGAAGAAGAGGGTTGGACGAGGGGGCTCGCTAAACCACTTGTCGCCCCAAGGGGCTGGTTGATTTTTCCCATCCCTCGGATCCCTCCCACCTGGGCCTTCCCGGGTGCTTATATATGCCTCGTATGGGTCTCTTGGGCCGTTTCGGGCGTTCTTTTCCGAAGGCATTCTGTGGGGCCGTCTTGCGGCCGCCTTGGCCGCGCGGTGGGCTTCGTGGGGCCTCGCGTCGGCGCCTCTCGGGGCTTCGTTGGCGCCGTCTGTTGCCCCTCAGGCGCGCCCGTTGGGCCGTTCCCCGGAGTGATCTCGAGTGGCGCCCTTGAGGCTCAGTTCGGAGCTTTCTTGGGTCTCCTGAAGTTATCTTTGGTCTCTGGGCCCCTTGGGTCCCCGCGTGCTCTGCGAGCCGCCGTTGATCTTGTGGGGCCGCCCAGCCAGGGTCGAAGCCACCGCCTTGGTACTTATGCGTTGCTGGGGTGGGGGGATAGGAAAGGTATCTCCACTTCCGACTTGCTGGCCCCGAGGGATAAAACAAGTTATAGTTTGAGATAAATGCGAATCGTTTGTGAATTTTGTTTGAAATTGCAGCATATCTTTTGATATAAAAGATTACCTCCTGGTTCTACCACTCCCCGACCTTCAGAAGAGGTAGTTGTTTGTCTCCTGTCCCTTGGATCGGGCGGGGGGCGGGGTAGTTACTTGTCCTTGAGTTTTCGGCTTCGTTTCGGCACGGCGGGCGTCAAGGCGACGGCGGCGGCGGCGATCTCCAGAAGGGGGACGAAAGAGGACGGGGAGGCACAGCGCGGGGCCTTTGAGGAGCCCTTAAGGAGCCCTTTGAGGCCCTTCAGGAGCCCGTCGTGGCCTTCAGGAGCCCTTACAGTGGAGACCCATGCCAAGAAACACCCTGCTTGCCTCCAGGGGGCCCTGGGTTTCTTGGGTTTCGATAGCTTTGCAATGGAAAGCGTGACGTTCCCACATGAAAAAAAACGATGGACGTCCTGGGGTCTCAGGGTTGGGTTTCTTGTGGAAGGTTTCTTGTGGTCGTCCCCTCACTGTGAGGGGCCTTTAAGGTCATTCAAGAGCCCTTGAGGGATGGCCAGGCAAGATGGTGGGACGAGACCAGACGGGAGGACCAGGCCAGACGGGGGGGGCCAGTGCGCCGAGATGGACCCGAAGCGTGATGCAAAGCCTCCTTGGGCCCGCGAGCCGTGGGAGGGCCCCCCCTCATGGGCTCTCTCGGCCTCGAGGGGGCCCGTCTCGGGCACGAGGGGCCGGGAGAAAACGATCCGGCTGGAAGTCCTCCAGGAAGTCCGCGGGTGGCTTTCCTCTCTTTCCCAGAGACCCCCCAGCCGTCCGTCGGCGGACTTCCTTTACTCCCCATGAAGTCCGCCGACGGACTTCCTTCACTCCCGGCGGACTCGCAACACACATTTCATCCGGGACAGCAGTTCACCCTGTGTCGAGAGACAGCCGAGCAGGCCATAGCCACTCCTCCCTTCAAAATCAAGCAATCACAACGGTGCCAAATCGAAGCAGCTGCGCTGCATTGCAATGGCCTTACGGCCAGTGCCGCCGACCCTGAAGAGGGATGGCGACGACGGCGACGAAGAAAAACATTCAAACACCTATGGAAAATCGGTAATGTTGTCCTCTTGAGGTTCTCCTGGGAGTGCTCTTGGGGTCCTCTTGAGTCTCTTGGGGGCTTCTCGGGCGCCTCTAGGGCCTCATGGGGGCCTTGGGGCCGAAGGCTCGAAATGTTGTTTGGTGGTTTCCCTTTCGGGAGCTTCTCGTGGCCCCCTGAGGGCCCTACTCGTCCGACTTGAGGGCTTCTTGTGCCGTTTTGGGCCCCTTTCAGCTTATGTCACACATGTGTGCTGCTGAAGGTGGGACTCATAGGAGGGTACATGTGGGGTCGCTGCTTACAATGACTAACACATGTCAGTTATGCAAAACTGTGATGAAAAGAACAACAACAGCTAAAAGGCACGTTATGGTTAGCTTTAGAAGAGCATACTTCCCACAGGATAGGGGAAGGTTTGAGTCGGTGTCCAGCGTACCATCTTCATTATCATGCCCAGTATGCGAGTTCGAAGCCGATACTGCAGCCGACCTGCTCGAGCATTGTCGACTTCACCTCCGTGATCTCCTTCCAGATACTTTCCATATTCGCCGTCCTCGCGAGTCTGCAGCTCAGCGAGGGACTGATCATTCAGAACCCAGTGTGCAGTTACAGTCGTGGCGAGAAGTGCTCCGTGATGCCAGAAGGGGACGTGCAGAGTTGGCTGGTGAGACCACGCAGCCAAAGCTTCGCTCAAGCACAAGGTCGGCGCCCCAAGGTGGCTCGAGCAGCGGGAGGAAGCAGTGGCCGAGGACGAGGAAGAGGACATGGAGGATCGGATGGGGGCCGAGATCAAAGCGCTGGTGGTTCAGCTCGAGGCAAGGGTGCGCACGCTCGAACATCAGACACTATCCACGGCGGTGGCGCCCCGCAACAGCCAGCCGGTCAAGTCAGCGATATCGGCCTACCAAGAGTTCATCCAGAAGCGCAAGAGAAACCAGAGGAGGACATAGGAGCTCCGAGCTTCCATTGCTTCTACGCCATTCTGCACGTTTTAGAGAACTGGTCGTTCGCGGACACGCCGGAGCGACGAATGCGCTGCTCGGGCGTCCTCAAGAGGCTGCGGATCATGCTGGAAAAGGGGGCGCCAGCGGAAGCATTGGACTTGGTGTTCGAGCTACTTTGCCTCCCAACGTTCGACAAGCCTGGCAAGGACGCGAAGAACAGGCTCACATACCACTTGGCAGGGCGCACGCTACTACCCGACGACGTGCAACTCGAGAATCAGCTCCTGGAGGCGCTGCAGTCGGCCGAGAGGCATCCAATCAAACAGACGACGCCCAATGAGATCCCGACGGCCATGTTGACGTACAAAAGGGAGCATCATCACGATTTAGAAGTGTTTTTCTGAGGTCCTGAGGGCGGCAGGACGCAGTGTGCAGCCAAGCAAGGCGCCGAGGGGCAAACTTGCACGCAGGTTTGGCGGTGGACGCAAGAGGTAGGTATCCTACGTTAGGCTTTGGCTCCTGTGTGGGTCTGATTGGGGGAGCGCTAAACATCCACCGCCGTTTTGCTTTCCAGAATGTGCCCTGCAGTAGTTTCTTGAACCTCAGAGGCACGCCTGAAGCCGCAGTACAGTAGTCCAGGGCCGCGCAGCGTGTTGTCCTCCCCAATGAGGCTTTGGAGTCACGTACGCAGGTGAACTAATTTTGGTCGGGTCGGTGAACAAGCGCGATGCCCTCGAGCCGGATTCGAATGAGAGATTTAGCCGAGCCCCCTCGCTGGCGCCGCAGCAGGTGCACCAGCCATGTGCTCAAATGAAGTCTTTCGACGCACAGAAGCTGGTGCTCGAACGTGGTGTAGCCACTTTCGGCCCAACCAGGGCAATACTTGAACCGAAACTTTACGAGTGATTGTATAGTTCCGTGGAGGTGTGCCTAAGTGGCGGTGAATGAAATGAATGGGGGGAAGGGGGGAAGGAGGAGGAGCAAGGCAGAGGGGGAGGAGGAGGCGGAGGAGGAGGAGGAGGATGAGGAAGAGGAGGAGGAGAAGGAGGAGGAGGAGGAGGACGTGGAGGAGGAGGAGGAGAGGAGGAGGAGGAGGCGGAGGAGGAGGAAAAGGAGGATGATGATGATGATGAGGAGGAGGAGGAGGAGAGGGGGGGGAGGCCTGCTCTGAGGGTGTCGGGGGCCGTGTCTTCGTTTCCAGGGAGGGTGCCTCGCTGTTTCCGTGGATGGCCGCTCACGTTTTCGGGGTTCGCGCCGCCATCGTTTCCGGGGCGGGCGTGTGCACATTCCGGGGTCGACACCGCCTGGTTCCGAGGCTTTGCCTCCTCCCGGCCTCGTTCTGAGGCTGCGCCCCCCTTCTCCTCCCCCTTCTCTGCGTAATTCAAGCTTCGCGCGGCCCGCTTAGCTTCGACCGGAAGAGGTGCGCTCTCGACCCGCGAATCAAAAAACGCTCACGTTTCCGGGGTTCGCGCCGCCATCGTTTCCGGGGCTGGCGTGTGCGCATTCCGGGGTTCGCGCCCTGCGTTTCTGGGGGTCGTCGTCTATCCGGCCTGGATAGCCAATGCAATGGCGTCGCAGAGCAACGCGAAACGACGCAAAGCAACGCGAAGCCACGCGAAGCAACGCAAAGTAGCGCGAAGTCACGACAACAATGCAAAGCAATGTGCAGCCACGCAAAGCAGCAAAAGACGCAAACAACCCAAAGCTGCGAGAACAATGCGAAGCAACGCGCGGCAACGCAACACCAGGAGAAGGAGGCGGAGTGAGCGCAGAGCAAACCAATGCTAAACACAGTGTAGCACTGCAGACCAATGAAACGAAATGCAGAGCAATGCGATGCAACGCTATGCAATGTAAAACAATGGCGGCGACGGCGAGCACGCAGCCGCCAGACCGCCAGCTAGGCCCAGACCGCGGGCGGCGACGAGGCGGCGACGGGGCGGCGACGGCGAGCACGGAGGCGCCAGACCGACAGCCAGGCCCAATTCTTTAGCAAGAGTCCCTACATGCAAGCACTGTTGGGGGAAAAAGGAGTTTGAAGCAGAACGTAGGGTTTTCTTCGAGGCCGGGAACCTGAATGGGACCCGTGACCAAGGGCATGCTTGAAAATTGACCTAGCAAGAAGCCGGAACCATACCAGGAACCAGGACCGAGATCAACGGCTGGAGGGCAAACGAAAAAGACGGAACCAGAATCGGAACAGAAACCGGAATTGTGACCAGGCTCTTTTTCGAGTTTGGAAAGAAAGGAATCCGGAATCGAAACAACAACTGCGACTTGGGGGGTCTGTTTCGAAACCAGAAGGAAAACGAAACCAAAACCGTGACCAATGGCGTTTTCTTCAGGGCCAGAAGAAGAAAGCAACCGAAAGAAACTGGAACCAGAATTGGAAGTGGAACCAGAACAGACATCATGGGGGTCTTCTTCGAGGCCGAAAGAATAAGAAAATCATGCAAAAACCATAGCCGAAACCAGAACCGTCACTAGGGGTGTCTTCTTCGGGGCCGGAAGAAGGAGGAAACCAGAACCGGAACTGGAACCAGAACCATGACCTGGGGGGTCTTCTTCGGGGCTGGAAGAGGAAGAAGGAAACCAGAGCCGGAACCAGAACCAGAACCGTGATCGGGGGGGTCTTCTTCCAGGCTGGAAGGAGAAGGAAACCAAAATTGGAACTGGAATCGGAACCAGAGCTGTGACCTGGCGGGTCTTTTTCCGGGCCTGAAGAGGAAGGACACCGGAACCAGAATTCAAACCGGAACCAGAACCATGGTTTTCGAGGTTGGAAGAAAAAGGAAACCAAAACCGGAACTGGAACCGGAACCAGAACCGGACCTGGGGGGTCGATCTTCCGGGTCGGAAGCAGACGGGAATTGGAACCAAAACCACAACCAGAATTGGACTTGTGACTTGTTTTTTTTCCCGGGCCGGAAGAAGAAGGAAACCAGAACCAGAACCGAAACCATAACCAAAACCGTGACCAGGGGCGCCTTCTTCTGGGCCAGAAGAAAGGAAGGAAACCAGAAGCAGAACCATTACCGTCACCAGACCCGTGGCTTAGGAGGTTTTCTCCGAAGTTGGAAGAAGGAAACCAGAACAGTAACCAGAACCAGAACCAGAACCGTGACCTGTTTTTTTTCAGGCCGGAAGATTATGGAAGCAGCAACGGGAACCGGAACCATAACAAAAACCATGACCAGGAGGGCTTCCTTCAGGGCCAGAAGAAGACAGAAACCAAATCTGGAACCAGAACTGTGACTTGGGGGGTCTCCTTCGAGGCTGGAAGAAGAAGGAAACCAAAACAGCAACCGGAACCAGAACTGTGATTTTCGAACATGCAAGAGAAGACAACGAAACCAGAACCAGAACCGGAACCAGACGCTCTTGTACCAGGCCAGAAGAAAAAAGAAACCAGAACGAGAACCAGAACAGGAACGGTGACCAGGTTTTTTTTTCGGGAGCTCGAAGAAGAAGGAACCTGGAACCATAACCAAAACCATAACCGAAGCCAAAACAAGAACCAGTAACCAGAATTGGAACCAGAACCATAACCAAAACCAACGGGAACTGGAACCGAAACCGGAAGAACCGGAACCGGAACCGAAACCATAATCACCACCGCTGGGCCGTCTTGGGCCTCTTGGGGCCGTTTTGGAGTTTTTTGGGGAACCTCACGGGACGTCTTGGGGCGATCTTCGGGGCCCGTTTGGCTGTCAAGACGAGCTAGGCGAGTATGCTAAAAATATGCGTTTTCTGATGGGATTGGGGCCATTTTTGCTGAGGCCCTCTCGGCGGTTCTCTGGGAACACTCTTGGGCAGTTTCGAAGGCATCTTCGATTGTCGTGGGGCTACCTTGGGCCGTCTCGACGCTCTTTTGGACTACCTTGGCGCTCTGTTTGGGGTGCGCTGGCGAGCGTGTCCCCCCTCCCCCTTCCGCCCTTCCAGTATGTGTACAGATGTACCTATGTGTACATACAGAAATGTGTACATATATATATATATATACACAGCTATGCCTCTTCTTCTTCATTTGTCTAGTCCTCTGTCTCGTCCTCCTCCACATCCTCCTCTTCCTCCTCGCCCTCCTGGCTCCTCGCATTCTTCTCCACTGTCTATTCCTCTCCCTCCACCTGGCTCCTCGATCTCCCTCCTTCTCATCATCATCCTCCCTCTCTTTTGATCCAGCGAAAATCTCGCGTCGGGGCTTCTTAGGTCCTTGCTACGCGTGGCCAAGAACCACCGGAAACGCTTCAGCACGCAGCAGTTGATCGTGCACCACGTCGTCAAGTGGTCCAGGACCACTGTGCGGGGAGCAGCGCGAGCGCAAGTAATTGCCTCTCGTCCTCCTGGATCCCATGCTCCCCCTCTCCATTTTACTTCTAGGCCTCCTCCTCCTCATCCTCCACCTCCTGGTCATCACCCCCTCCCTAGCTTTATCGATACCCCACTAGCCTACTAAAGCCTGCCCCTGCAAGGCAATGGGCGGGGGAGGCGGGATGAGCGTAGCACGCCCTCTGAAGCGGCTGCGGCGTAGCCAGCTCTGCCCCCCAATCAGCAGGGGGCGAAATAAAGAATGAGGAGAGAGCAGGCGGAGGAGAGCAGGGTGGGAGAGGGGAAGCGGGGCGGAGGAGGAGGAGGAGGAGAAGGGGCGGACGAAGGGAGCGAAGGAGGGTGAGCGGCGAACAGGGGAGGGGGGCACGGGGGGAGGAGAATGGGCGGAACGAAGGGGTAGCGAGGGTGTGACGGGAGGCAGGGCCTCTGCCGCCGCCGCCGCCGTCTGCTGCCGCCGCGGTTCGCCGCCGCCGCCGCCCGCAGCAATTCAGGCCCAATGCCAGACACCTTGATATGGATTCACGCGAAAACCCGAGTTCGGAGCCTAGGCTTGTCTTGGGGGCGTCGCGACCCTGAGCGCGTGGCCCCTTATTTCCTGCTGGACCCGAGCATTCGACGTGCGTTGTCGGACGCAGGTCTCCATGATCCGGTGGATGAGGCGCTTGACCTGCTCGATGACAAGATTATCGGTTTCATGTTATGCAGGCCCCGTGTCCAACCAACGGTGATGTCGCTGTTGAGTGGCCCTTCCCGTAGGGTCAAAATGTTTTGGCAGTCCACGTCTTATTGTGATGATCCGTTGTTGTTTTTCGACGTGGTCGCTGCTGCGCGCCTGGAGCCCGTGGCAGCCATCCCTCCAACGACTGCTCGAGGAGGGGGCTTCTTCTGCCAGCGCACAATGTTTTTCCGGCAGCGGCTACATTCATCGCGCGGCGCAGAGCCAGGCGGCGCCGTGAAACCAGTAGTTGAGATTCTGGCTGAGTGGGGCGTGGACCCCCAGGTGGCAAGCGAGAGCGCCGGGGGCATATCTATGACAGTTCCGGTGCCGCACGCCGTTCTACTTGCGCGTGGGGCTTGGCCTGGATATGCCATTCCCGTGCCGTCCGCTGCGCGGAGGCGCGCGGGGCATTGCTTCCATGCGAAGGGGTTGGCCGCCATCCCGTCGCCCCCCATCCTGCTCGCCAGGATGCCTTGGCGGACCTCGTCATGCCACCCTCGGGCATTATTTTCTTTGGCCTCGGCGTGGGGAGGTTGTTTGCTGCCGTTCGCCGAAGCATTCGCCTCGCGCGGGCAGGCGGTCGCGATGCGGAAGGGGTATTGGGCCAGGCGCCGCCCCGCCAAGGGCGACGAAAACTGAGCGCGGCCATTCTGGCGAAACTGTGACAAGCGGGCCGTTGGCCCGACGCCCGGGCGCGCGGATTTGATCCCCCATCTTTGTCCAGAAGAAGCGCGTGCGATGTCGACGGCGTTTGCTCCCATCGCGCCTCCTTCCAGCAGTTTCTTCGGGGGTCTATGTAATCTTGTGAGGCGGGCGCACATCGCTCTATCGAGTCGGCAGCAATGCGGTGAGGAACTCTTGTTATCTGATTTGCGTGCTGCCGCAGTTGACTTGGACAGCAGGTGGAATGGGCAACACGGCGCCTCGAGATGCAATATCACCCCTTGCGCCCGCAGCGGCATGGGGGACTGTGCGGCGGGGCAAGAAGAGGTGGAAGTAGAGTTCGGAAGGAGGAGTTTGGCGAGGGGGTTGGGCGACGGGCCGGTGGAGGAGGAAGCGGGGAGGGGAAGAGGAGAGAGAGGAAGGCAAGGAGAGGAAGAGAGAGAGAGAGAGAGAGAGTGAGAGGGAGAGACAGTGATAGAGAAAGCAACACATAGTTGTATATATACACGGGAGAAAGAGAGGAAAACATAAAAAAAAGAGACAGAGGCACAGACAGAGACAGAGACAGAGACAGAGACATACGGGCAGACAGACAAACAGACAGACAGGCAGACAGACAGGCAGGGGGCGACCCTGTAGCCCCTCTCTGGTCGCACAGCCCCCCTTGCCGGCGCGCGGGGCGAGCGGTTGATCCATGCTCGGAAGAGCCGGGTTGCCCGAGGCAGAAGCAGTCCATGTGCAGCGATATCCTCGCTACTTCGTGGGTATGGGATGTGGAGACGCTCATATATTGCTTGGTGTTCAGCGGGTCCACCCGTAATTCTTCCGACCGAGTGGCAGATGTTACCCGCGTGGCCCTGTTGGCGGCACTGCCCAAAGAAGCGTCTGAATATTATGTTAAGGTTATTGAAAGAAAACATACTTTGCCACACGCTTCTCGACTACGCCATCACAAATTGATGTTCGTATTTGGTTTCTGCTCTTATGAATGGGTTTTCGGCCAAGTCCGCCATTGTGTTTGGTCTTTGGGTCCGAAGCCTGCTAGATGTCAGGTGGGGTCTCCAGAGGGGCCCTCGGGGGCCTATTGGGCGATTGGCCTGGACTCCTGGTCACTTCATGGGGGCCTCCGGGGGCGCCACGGGGACATGGGAGGCCCGCTGGCGATTTTGAATTCTGTGTTGAGTGGAACCCAATTTCGATTCCAGTTCGATTGCCTCCTCCAGGGCTCATCTGTGGGTTATATCCGGGGCCCCCCGAGTCTTTTGGGGTTCGTTTGGGGGCCTCTTTGGCCGTTTTGTGTTCCTCTGCCGCCTTGTAAGAGTTGTTTTGGGGGGTTGCTCGGCTGGGGAATGCCATGGGGCCCCATCGAAAGCATCGCACAACAAATGCCCAATCGCTGAGATACAAAAAAAGATCGTTGCCCCATTGAGGCTTGAGGCCCTTTTCTGGGGGCCACCTTGAGGTTCCCATTGGGCCGCCTCGGGGTCCTAGTGGGCAATGCTCAGACGATCTTGGAACGTTTTGGAGTGCCCATGGGCCGATCAGGGGCCCTCGCGGGCAGTTTTCGGACAATCTTGGGACCCGGCATTCCGTGGTTTGTGGACAAGTCAATTTGGGCGCGTCAGAAAGCGCCTTGTAGCACTCGAGCGGGCTCCAGCGCCCGGAATACCGCTGTCCGTGCCAATAAAGATAATCCGAAGGGAGTTGAAGACATGTGACTTCGTGTTTCGGAGCACGGTGGCGGATTTACAAAGGACAACCGAATCTTCGCAGGGCTGTCGCCAAATCCGCCGACGCGGCGTTGTTGAAAGAGGGGTGGGCCCGCGCGGGCGCCACTTGACAACGCCAGGCGCGAGGGGCTTGCAGGGGCGAGTCAATTGGGGGAGGCAGAGGAGGAAGGAAGCTTCGACGACAGATGGAATGAGGAGTGGGAGGGGGGGACCAGCGCGTGACACCAAAGGGGCCGCACCATCTCAGCTCAGCCACAGCATTGGTGTCAGCCAAACACCATCGGGGGTGGCCACGGGGCCCGCCACGTTCTTCCAGGCCCTTTGGCGCGAGTTGGGTGCTGGAGGCGGCCTCAAATTGGACGCGAGCCATAAACCAAACAAACAAGTTACGGCAGATATAGGGGTGTCTTGTCGCACGGACTTCGACATGATCTCGTCGAGGTGCGCTGGGGCCTCGTTTGCGGCCACATGGCGCGTTGGCTTCGCATGTTTATCATTGTGGTTGCGTCGGGAGGCCTTCGGAACCCAGGGACACCTGCTATGAGCCCCCTTTGTCAGATGCACGACCTTGGGCCGTGCCCCACGAATCCAGTAGGAATGCTATCGCTCGCGCCGTGCCCTCAAACGGGCTGGCGGACATGTTAAATTTGGGGGAAATTGTTCGTTGGAGTACGGTTGACAGCAGCCCGCAGGCCGGTTGGGATTGGGTTATGCACGGCCATTGCACAATCAATTCTGGCGACGTGGTGCGTTTGTTCCGGATCGGCCTGAGACTCCAGAGGCTCGCGGGTGATGGCGACATTGATGCTGGCGAAGAATGCATGGATGAATTGCGAGCAGTTTTCAAACTCCGCCTTAACATGCCCACCGCAGTAGGCTCGGGCAGAGCAGACGTCAGGTACAAGGCGCACGCAATGTTGCATGGCGAGCGGCTGACTGCGCCCAGTTGGCGAGCAGCGTGTTCGCTTTCAAACTCCATGTTCACGCTCACAGGATTCAGGGTCACGAATGGCAGGGGGTGGTCGCATGCGCACGCGGTGCCCCCATGGTTCCATGGCGCCGTGCTTGCCGAGGGGGCACCTGTCGGCCTTCGATTGGCCATTACTTTTTTGCGTCGTCCGCTCCCTGGCCCTCCCGGGCAGCCGCCTCGCAGGGATCGGCAACATATTTGCAACGCGTGATATTAAGGGTTAATTTTTTCGGACATTCGCGCGAAAGCTGCTCGCGGAAGGTCGCGCGTGAGCGCCGTCATTCTCAGGCGGATTTCCGCGATTGCGGCCCGCGTGAGCCACCGAGGTGCGCATTCGCTTTATCACGCGTGGTGCCCCATATGCGGTTTCAGAGTCTGAGGCGTCACGAATCTTCGGATTGCTCGCGAGGAGGGGGGGCTCGGGGGGCGGGGGAGGCCCGTGGCAGCCGCGGCAAGCATCAGTGATCGTGGCGGCGCGCGTCAGGTTTCACCGTCACGAGCGTTGCTGGGATCACGGCGCACTGGCTGCCGACCATTACGAGCAGCTCGAACTATTCCCGGGTGGGGTTCGCTTCAGTGGTTATTGGTTTCCCAAACGGCTTGAAATCCCCATATATGTATGTCCTTTGCCCTGTCACGTGCCATTGTGATTGTCTGGCTCCGATTGTCTGCGCGCTTGAGTCCGAGTGATTATACCCGCTTCGGATGCTGAGCCCGGGGCCTCGTTCGAAGCATCCCCACAAGCTGCTCTGAAAGCAATGGAATCCAAACCGCCCGAAACGCAAACCAGAGGGCGGTGCTGCCGGGGAGGCCTACCATTGGGGCCTTCGGCGGGGTTCCCTATGGGGCCACTAAGCGCGTGTGCCGAAAGGTAATCGCGTGCCTATTTGACCCCTTCCGCGTTGCACCTCCGGTCCATACCTCGTTTATGTGACCCACACGTGGTCTGGGCTCCAAAAGCGATGACCCTCGCGGGGCCCAGACCCCATTCAGGTGACCCCATACTAGGCCCAGGTTCTATGCAGGAGGCCCCGCCAGGCCAAGAGCACGTTCGGGTGACCTATGAGTTGCCAGGGTTCCATGCAAGTGGCCCCCGCGAGGCCCATATCCCATTTATGTGACCCCCACTACTTAATCCAGGCTCCCTGAAAAGCTATCCCTCGGGGCCTCTTGGGGACTTTTGTCTTGCTCTCCCCTATCCGCCTCCCGTCGCTGATGGCGAGCGCGTCGGGGAGAGGGGGGTGAGGATGCAGGAGGAGAGGCAGGGGGATGCGGATGAGGAGGGAGAGCAGGCGAACGGACGCAGGGGCTCACCATAAAGGCCCCAGGAGGCCCCCGCTGGCCACCAGGCCTAGACCCCATGTGGCTGGCCCCATACTTGGCCCAGGCCAGGCCCCTTACAGATATCCGTCGGTTCACAGGGCCTCGTCAGCAAGAGCGGCTGGCTGACGCACGTCCCGTTTTGGAGATCCGCGGTCCGTTTTGGAGATCCGCGGCCCGTTTTGGAGATCCCCTGGGTGGTTTGACGATGACGATGACGGCCGCGACGACGACGACGACGACGACAACGATGACGACGACGACGACGACGGCGACGACGAGAGACAGTGAGGGAATTTCTGCCCCCACGGGGTTGGGCAGAAACTCCCTCAGACGACGACGACGGTGTTTTGTGGGCTCCAGGAGGGCTCAAAGAGCCCCCCAAGATGGCTCCAAGAGGCTCCAAGAGGGGATGTCATTGAATTAGACGCATTATCGCAGGAACAAGGATAAGTCGGGCGTGCTGGACATCTGGGAGTCCAAGTCGGGGTTCCACGGCGCAGCATGTGAGCAATTGGTGACCTTGCAGCTGTTGATTATGAGTGCGTCTGAGTGTGAGTGAGTCTGAGTACGACGCGGTTTCAATGTGAACTGTCTAAGTCTGAGTCAGTCTGAGTGTGAGTGAGTGAGTGTAGGTGAGCCTGGGCGTGCCTGAGTCTGGGTGAGTGTGAGTGCGAGTGAACCCGAGCATGCGCGAGGGAGGCGGGTGAGGGTGAAGCGGAGGTTTGTCAGTAATGACAGTAAGCTCATCCAAAGGTATTGGGATCAATCGCGTTCAAATGGGGTTCCCGACACAGGAACTCTGTCGAAAAACGGTTCTCTGCGCGGACATTGGCGCGCAAGCTGCAAGTGCAAGGTCGACCTTACATTGCCCGCCTGCCCGCGTGGCCTACCGCGTGCGGTCGCCGCCTCGTCTCGCGCAAATTACATGTTCTCCTCACTCAAATGGGTTCCGGAGGTGCGCGCACCCCGGGCGCCAGGGACTGCTTTCGATAATGGCACCTGGCCAGGAGACCTTGGCACGGAGTCGCGCTTGAACAAAGTGCGAGCGCCGCTGTCGCGGTTCGTGGGCCCTTGGGCGGACGCAGAACACGAGGCAGGCCGGCGTCGTCGTCGTCGTTGTTTGCCGTCGTCGTCGTCGTCGTCGTCGTCGTCGTCGTCGTCGTCGTCGTCGTCGTCGTCGTCGTCGTCGTCGTCGTCGTTCGTTTCCGGCAGGGAACGAAGCGAATAACATAGCGGTGTCCATGTGATTCACGGGAGGGCATGCAGAGGGGTGCGGAAATGTTGCGGATGCGATAGCAGTGCCGTCTCTTGCCCCCGCATTTTCTCTTTTTGGGAATCAACAGGTCCAAGGATATCATGTGAGTGTTCTAGGTGCCCCCCTGCTGGCCTCCCCCGGGGGCTGGGTGTTGGTGGAAACATTCAACGAATGATTCGACAGCCCATGGACGATGCACACGGCCCCCTCTGCGCTGCAGGCTCCAGCGCCGGCGCAAGCCCCAGTCGCATTTAACATTGTGCCCGCCGATGATGACAGGACAAGGGGGGCAGGGCAGGTAGCACGCCTGCTGCGGTTGGCGTTTATTTTTGTTGTTTCTTTCTCTCTCTCTCTCTCTCTCTCTCTCTTTCCTTCCCCCTCACGCACGCGCGCACTCTCTCTATCCTTCTCCCTTTCTTCATCTGTCGCCGCGCCTGCATCGTGCTTCCTACATTAGCGGGGCTTTCACCGACATTGGAAGCGTAGGGGCGTATTCTGCCCAGACTGGCTCCAGGCTCCAAGTATGCAGCGGCATGTCCAAAGTTGCGATTGATGGTGGAAAGTGGCCACGTCCGTGTGTTCGCGAGATCCACAAGTCATCTCTGCGTCGGAACGGTCCTTGTGCAAGTGTAAATCCAGTGGCCCTTGTCGTCACGGCGTTGCTGCTGGCCACGCCGTCGATCCCAGTGGACCGATTCAAGTTCCTTCCCCTTTTCTCCACCCCAACCCCCAACAGCCTCCTCATCTTCCTCGGGGGGGAGGGATTTGGCTTGGTTGTCTCAAGGCCGAAAATTGCGACCCCCGAAATTTCGAGATGGCCCCAGAAGTTATCCAATGTGGCTATCCCAGGAGGGGGCACAATGGTTCAGAACAACATGTTGACCGTTCTCGCTGGAGCGGGCGCTGGGCGCCCTTCAGGATCTCTCTGGAGGGCGGTTGTGGACGTCCTTTGGGCCATCCAGTGTTCCCCGAGGTCGTCGAGGGCATCCCGAACGGGCTGTACGAGGGTCGTCAGAGGGCTCCCGGAACCCCGGGGCGCCCCTATACCTTCACGGGGGCCCCGGATGGGCCCCGGGGCGCCCCCAAATTGTGAACCGCTTAAATCCTCCACGTCGGGCTTGGAGGGCCCCAGCTGTCCCAGGAGGCGTTCGAGAGGGTTCCCGAGAGGGCCCCATCAGCCCATGATGGCGTGGGCCTTATGTGCCTGATGGGCCCCTGGGTCCTCATGATTTCATTAGAGCTCCGGGGGCCTTGTGAACTTTACGGGTGTATGAGCCCTGTGGGGCCATATGAACCGCATGAGCCCAATGATGGCTCCCATGGTGCCCATGGAGTGTCAATTGGGTTTTCGATCGCGTGTTGCTCGGGCGTCTCATCGGGCTGCTCCCTGGCGTGATGTCATCAGCGGGGCCGCAGGGTGCCAGTGCCACCCCCGCCGCCGCAGCAGCCCCCGTCGCCAGCCCCAGCCGCGGCCGGCGCAGCAGGGGCGGAACCTTACGTAGATTTAACACGCACGATCTACATTGCCGGCCTTCTCCACCAGATTCACGGGTGCATTGAGGACATGAGGAACGTGCTAGTTGGTTGGAAACAGTTGGAGGACCAGTTGAAACATGTGTGTCTGATGCTTTCGCGGCCTTTTCATCGGCAGCGTCTCATGGAGACGTGTTTCGCCACTCCGCCTGGCATTCATTTTCGAGATGTTTTTACCAACTTCAACGCTCGAGTTTACGAAGGTCGGTGGGGGAGTTTTGTGCGTGCTGCGGGACACACTTTGGGGGTGGAGCGGGAGCTGCGGTTCGGTTGGTCGGTGGAACGTTTCAAGCTCGCCCGCTCCCAGCCAGATGAAAGAGACACAGAGCGTGTCAAAATTGATGTAGTCGACGCAGCAATAAAATCATTATTCTTCTGGGGGTATTTGACGATGGTGGACGTCGTGATGGAAATGTTCGAACACATAGAGGGCTGGGCAGAAGGATGTTCTTGCCATTGGAAGCCCGCGCGTGTCCAGGGCCCCGCGAGATGGGATGCCAGGCGAAAGCGCGCCCGAGGGCGTGATAATACCAAAAATAATTGTCCCTTGAAAGGGTGCCGCGCCCCAGAAATGGCTGCCGGCGCATTGGCCGAACTTATCAATTCGTTGTTGTGCAAAGCGAACACACATGTGTCTACTAGGCCAACGCCATCTTCCGCATGCCCCTTCCCTGAAGCGATTGGACGTTTTTTGTGTGGCGAAGCAGTTGTTGGTTTCCTCCCTTCCCTGTTTGGCAATTGACTCTGCAAGTGACGGCTGGTTGGCTGGTTGGTTGGATGAGAACCCAGCTTCACGGAAGTTTGGCGACTTTGTGAGCTAACCTCAATGGGTTATGCGTGGAAGCGCGTTTCGCAGCCTGGCGGCCTTGCAAGGAACCGGCGGATTGCTGGACCCGCACGTGTTGGCTCTGAACGAAGTTGAGAAAGGTTTGGTCATGGCGGATTTTGCACGGGCCCGCCGCCACGTAGTGTTCTATGCGATGGCTGTCGCCCCCCCCGCCCCCCCCTTCCCGAATATTATTGGAACATGTGAATGTATTGTTTTCCAGGGCTTCAGGGGCGCGTGCGCCCACTAGACCTTTCGGCCTGCATGGGTTCGCCTGTCTGGGGATGTAGGTGGAAGAGGCGTTCTCCATAGAGAGAGAGTGACAGATAGCGAGAGAACGAAGAGTCCTTAAACGTTCGTTTTCCTCGTGTCCTTAAGCGTCCGTTTTCGTCGTGTCCTTAAGCGTTTGTTTTCCTCGTGCCCTTAAGCGCCAGTTCTCCTCGTGTCCTTAAGCGCCCGTTTTCCTTGTGTGCTTAAGCGTCCGTTTTCCTCGTGCCCTGACGCATCAATAGTCGCACTACCACCGCAGTCCGATGCCGCCCTGGGCATGCACCTTTTTTCAGCATGCGTTCTCAAGTGGTTAGCCTTTCGGGGGCATCCCTGCATGGGTTAGCCTGTCTGGGGATGCAGGTGGAGGAGGCGTTTTCCATAGAGAGCGCGAGGGATAGTGAGAGAACGAGAGAGAGAACTGACAGAGAGAGAGAGAGAAGAACAATGAACTATATGTTCAGACAGGGCTCTTTTACGACACCTTTGCCCGCAACTGGCGGGCAGGCGGATTTTACGGCCAAGTCCGCATATTGGAATCAATTGCCGTGGTCCTTATTCGGAAGTGCGCATCCCGATGAGCAAACGGCCCGCGCTTGCGCCGTCAAGTCCCTCAGGTTGTACGAGATATCAGGGGAAGAGGCCACGCAGCACTGGCTTGTCCGTCTGTTGTGTATTCCTGGGACCCCTGGGCATGCAGACATGGAGTCTTTCATTTCGGGCAGTTCGAGGGAAGGCTTGGCAGTGCTAGAGCCGCTCGCGGCCAGAATGTTTTTCCCCTTCGTCGTGGAAAGGTGGATCGAATCGAGGCACGCATTGGCGAAGAGGTTCTTTGTCAACGCCCCTAACGCCACAGCTCTGCATCTTGGCTTTCGTTTTGTATTGCCGCAAGTGAAGGATATTATTCTCAATGCTGCTTTCCAGGGGTCCTTCAAGACACTCGCAGAATGCTGCGCCCAGGCCAAGACAGCGAACACTGTCGTGCGCAAAATGGGCTTGTATGGGCACCCCGGGATCCAAGAGCTCCTCGCGCGATCAAGTCTTCGAGAGTTGAACCGCTCTCTCCGTCCTGATGTTGTCAAGGTGCTATGTCATGGAGCTTCGCTCGTGCCATCCCACGGCCTTCGCTGCATTTGTAGCGGGTCTGGATGATACGTGGCCCCCGCAATTGCGGATCAGAGTGAGGGCCCAAGAGGGCCCCGAGACGGCTCCAAAAGGGCTTCGAGCAACATCTTATTTCAACTTGTCTGTCCCCGTTTCAAGCTTTTGAGTCCGCCTGCTGACTTATGGGTTTGCCCCATACTCCAATAGCTCTTGTCTGGATTTGCCCGATACTCCAATATGGCTTTGCCCGACACTCCAGATATCGCTTTTTGGGGTTTGCCCGATGCCCCAGTATCTGTATTCTGGATTGGCCCGATACCCCAAAATCTCTTTACTGGGTTTGCCCGGTGCTCTAGCAGCTCTTTTCTGGGTTTGCCCTATCTCTTTTCTTGGTTTGTCCGATATTCAAATAATTCCCTATCATCCTGTGGTGTTGGGTCCTCGTTTTGAAAGGACGGTGCCCCCGCGTTCCTCCTCCTTTTTGCTCCTCCCCCTCCTTTATCCTCCTATCATCCTCGTCGTCGTCATCATAAGCATCATCATCATCGTCATCAGCATCAACACCATGGCCACCATCTTAACTGGGAGTATCCCGCGCCCCGAGGACACCACAGAAAAGTACCACACTGCGCGTGGTACTTTTGGCTGCCCGCGCCCCGGGGACACCACAGAAAAGTACCGCACTGCGTGTGGTACTTTTGGTTGTTAGGTAGCATGAGCGCACGTGTAGACACCAGGGCGTTCAATTTGATAACGACGACAGGGCGTGGTCGAACGTTGTCGTGGCCGATGACGACGACGACGGCGGGGCGTGGTGGAGGCGAGGCGGAGAATGGCGGTGTGGGGTGTCCCAAGAACAGAGACGAACACGACGACGACGACGACGAACACGACGACGACGACGACGAGGACGAGGAGGAGGAGGAGGATGACGACGACGATGACGACGAGGCTCAGCCGGGGCGGTCATTAGAAGTAATTTCAGCGGCCGTCGACCACGATGATGACGATGATGACGATGACGACGACGACGACGGCGGGGCGGCCGACTAACCGGAAAGTTCGAACTTTCTGGTCTGTCGTCCGCTCGGCCGTCGACCATGATGACGATGATGACGATGACGACGACGACGGCGGGGCGGCCGACCAACCGGAAAGTTCGAATTTCCTGGTCGGTCGTCCGCCCGGGCGTCGACCATGATGATGACGATGATGACGATGACGACGACGATGGCGGGGCGGCCGACCAACCGGAAAGTTCGAACTTTCCGGCCGGTCGTCCGCCCGGCCGTCCGTAACCAGCCGACGACGACGACGACGACGACGACGACGACGACGACGACGACGACGACGACGACGACGACGACGACCGCGACCACGACCGCGACCCCGACCACGACCACGACCACGTCCACGACCAGGACCACGACGACGACGACGACGATCGAAGGCTTCATCGCCCCGTCCACATGCGCCCCCCGCACCCACTTCGGCACGCCTGACACTGTACGAGCGGAACATTGCACATTCGCGCCCGCGTAAATGTGAACCACAGCGGTGCGCAGGGGGAAGAAAAACCGAAGGGAGCTCCACCGAAGATGACATTCACAATTGCGTTACTTACAACTGCATATGGTTGGGTCCTTCGCCACTCCAATTCTTTTTTTCTGGGTTTGCCCGATACTCCAATATGTGTTTGCCCCAAACTCCACTATCGTCATTTCTGGGTTTGCCCGATTCTCAAGGGTTTGCCCGAGTCCGGGGCCATGGCCGCTTTTCGGGCACATGGTTCAGCTCCCCATTTCGTGGGTTTCCTTCCTCCTCCTCGTCCTCGCCATGTTGCTCTGGCGAATAACTGCCCGAATTTCCGCCCCGAGTTTCGGCCGCTTTCGCAGGACATACGTTTTGCTGGAAACCGTGGTTTCTGTTTCTAGGCGGGCCTCTAACGTTCAGATCCCTCCCAGACAACGCGCCTCAGAAACCGCTAGCCGCCAGAAGCCTGGAGGCCCCGCATGGGGGGGCTGGCGCATTTCACGTGGACGGGGGCACGCTTTTCCAGCCGTTACCCCCAAACGAGCCGCCTCCACCGCCTCCTCCACGGCCCCCGCCGCCAGCAGCGGGCCCGCTGGCGGACCAAGCTGCGGAACCCAGTGCCGCGGGCGCGGTGATAGACGAGATGGTGGCGTTAGAGGGCGTGGAAGATGATGCAGCCACGGATGCGGCCGAGCCGGGTGAGGCGTCTCGGGCAGGGAGGGCAGGGAACGAGGCACCTTTCTCGTGGTCTGTATGGTAATACTTCGGGCGATTCCCTCTCGAGCTCCAGCGCGCAGGAGCTCCATGCCCTCGTTGAGCTCTCGTGCGGCTGCCTGGGCTTTTCCTGGCCGTCTCCGGGGCCAGAGGAAGATCCCCCAATGGGTTCAAGAGGGCCCCGAGAAGCCCCCCCCGTGGAGGTACCCAACGAATCCCCCCAGGACGGGGAGGACAGAGGAGGGTGGGACGGGGAGGGAAACGAACGACTCAACAGAGTGTAGGGAGGACAGAGGAGCTTGGGGCGGGGAGGGAAACGAACGACTCACCAGGTGAGTCCCTAGGTTTTTTCCCTCCTCTTCCTGCCCCCTCGTCCTCAGGGGGTTTCCCGCGGCGCCCCCCGCCCACCTCGTCCTCCTTCGGGGGATCGTTCGGCCCCCCGCCCGTCTTCATCCTCGGGTGAATCGTTCGGCTCCCTCGTTTTGCTTTCCTGGTCCGCGGGCGGCGAAAAAACGGGCCACACGTCGTCATGGCAGGTTCGGGTTTTCCCTTTTGCGCATGATTGCTATAAGGACCCCCTGTAATTCCGATCGGCACGGACGGACATTGCCAGGTGGTTTGCAAGACGTTGCAGGGCCGTTTGCAGGGCCGTTTGACCAACATTGCATGATGTTTGTTATTTGGTTTCGTTGCAAGGTCTTCGCAGGGTCATTGCGGGGGTCTTCGCAGGGCATTGCAAGGGTCTGTGCAATTGTTCTTTGTTTCACGCAGTGTTTTTTATTTTTTGACAGTTCTCACCCCGTCTGTGCACCACTCTTGTCTGAAAGTTCCCGCTCCCATATCCCAGAGGGGTAGGGGCAGGTGGAGGCGGCGCCGCTTGCCGAAGAGCCGCCAGCTGGAGCCATAGACGCTTGCGGGCAGGTGTTGTCTCGTGTAATGGGCATTGCAGCTGTGCAGTATTTGAAGATGTTGACGAACGAGCCCGAGTATGAGAAGGCGGTATTTTCATTTGGCCCTTTCTTGACTACTGCTCCAGACGTGTTCACATCGTACTTGGCGGATGTGTTCGATCCTTGCCGGAAGAATGGGCCCCAGCCGGTCGCGGGGGGGGGGGTGGGGGCAGGCAGGCGCGGTGCCAGACTGGAGGGCAGTGAGGGCACGCGGGCAAAACTAGCATTATATGCCAGACGCAAGTAAGTTTGTCTTTTGCGCAGGCGTCGCTGAATGTACGCACTTGGATTGGCATTCGCGGTGACCTGTTCAGGGGCAGAGCCTTTTCGTGTCTTCCCACGACAATGGTCGCTTGGATAATGGGTAGTGTGGGCAGGTCGCCCCTTTGCTGCCAGCGGGCAGATTCGAGCTCGAGCCCGTGCCCCCGCCTCCCTGCGAGATCCTGGATGCGCCGGCGCAGCCCGCTGGCCGCAAGAATCTATTCTTCTTTACCGCGCAGCGTGCCACCCCTGAGTGCGTGAAGTTGCCGCCCGGCGCAAAGCGTCTCAGAGCTGCCAACGCAGATGCTGGCTCAGGTGCTCTGCTTTATATCAGGGAGTGCCCTTTAGTTGAATATAACAAGGCGGCCAAAATTGTCCGCGTCGCTTTAGAGATGGACGATGGGGGGGCCCAAACACCCGCATATGAGCGCCCCTCTTCCCTGCCACATTCCCCACCGAGGATTGAGGCGGATGGGGAGTGGGGCACGGATGGGCAGAGGGCTCGTTTGTTCGCGTGTTTTTCGGCCCCCCGCGATGGCCAAGGCGCCGATGCCGACGGCTTGATGGTGCTGTCGTCGAATTTCCTTGCGCGCCCGGACATCAGGACTCTCTGTGCCTGGCAGCCCGCAAGCGCTTTGCATTATTATTTCCAAGGCGTGTCCGTTCCAGTTGCGCAGTCGCAGGCTGGCCAATTATTGCTCCAGTCGGCGTTGAATGCGAGGCGTTTGGAGGGTGGTCAATTTGTCTTGGATGCGTCTGGGGAGTATGGGCCCGATATGATGGAGGTTGGGCGGATGCGTCGGCTTCGCCGTGACCGCCTGCACCCGCATGGAAGGGCATGAAAACCCATGGGGCGTGGAGCAGGCATCCTCCTCGTGGCCCGACGCGGCCCGTCGTGCCAATGCGGGGCTGCTCGATCGCGGCTCTGGTGCAATATATTCGAGCCCTGGCTCTGCGCGGTGACAGACGTCATCATGCCTTGGACGGCCTCGCGCTCCAGCTCGCATCAAAGCATATGCCGGGCGCTCCATTCGCTTGAGCAGCGGGTATTTGAACAACACAACAGGCTTTCTTCGACACGCACATCCGCAAACGAGGTGACCTATCAGTTTACCGAGTTCGGTTTGCAGACGTTTCAAATGGCGCATAATATCAAGCCCGTCCGTTTTCTGAGGACGCCGCGGCCGGGGGTGCCCTTGCAAGACCGATCTTATTTCGAGTTGTTGATGATGATGGATTCCGAGGGCTGGGTTTGCGAGCTGTGCGCACGTTCCAAAGATGCCGTTCCTTACGTCGTCGGCCAGTCCAAGACTTGGTATTTGAAGGACGCCCAAACATCGCTGCAACCTTTGTATCTGCGGGCGCTCTTGACAGCTGCCGACCACAAACAGCCCGTGCAGGCTTTCCGGGCACCGGCTTATTACAAGTGCATCTTGCAGGGCAAGGCGTACGTTCCGAAGCCGCGTCGGCAGTGCGGGCCATTCTGCATAGAGCCAGCGCGCGAGGGTTTAGCCGCGCTTGCACCGCCAGTGCCCGCCGCTGCACGGGGCCGCGGGGCCGCCCGGGGCCCTTGCAGGGGCGGCCGGCGGCGGCGGGCCGTGGAAATTCCAGGGGCAGCGTTGGCGCTTGATCTTGAGACATCCGATGTTTCCGATCACCCCAGTCTGTTGGATATGCTCCCGCACGATGAGGACTCGATCGATATGTGTGCTGTCGCAGGTTCCGCCGACGACCGAGTTTATCTTGTTACTTGCCCTGCCGCCAGTATGTTGCCCGCTGGTTGCCCGCGCAAGTGTCGCGCGAGGTCGCGCCCTTCGGCCGCGCGTGGCGGCACTCGGGTCCACCAAGGTCCGTCTTCAGATTGCACGCGCCGGCTGGCAGTTCGCCGCTCGGCGGATTCCTTGGGCAAGATGCTGGAGGAAATGGATTTCTCCATGGACGACCCCGCCGAGGGCCCTGCGGCCGAGGCCAGTGGCGCTTCGGGCGGGCCTGGCGGGGCCGCTGGTGCTGGCGCAGCGGCTAGCAGCGGCGCTGGCGCAGCGGCTAGCAGCGGCGCTGCTGCCGCCGTGATTGCCGATCCCGACCACGACGTCTCGGGCTTCAGGTGGCGTCAGATGTTTCAGTTTACTCCGCACTGGAACAGGACAACCGGCCAACAGGCGGGCTGGGAGGTCTTCTGCTACCACCCCGACCATGACCAGAGCAAGTGCAGGCGGCGCCGACACTTCGCAGCTCACGGAGGCCCACAGATGACAGAGAGACTCTTGAAGGAGTGGTGCATTCGCGGCTTGTGCGAGGGGGGCACCGCCGCCCACATGGCTTTGAAAGACCACCCTCCCTACATGGAGCTGGAACAGGCAGATGACCATCCAATACCCGAACACTTACTGGACGCGCTTGCTTCCAGCTCGGGCCCAAGCTCCGATGGCAACTCTTCCACTTCCGATTGAGGGGCCGTCTGCAGGATAGCGCATGGGGACAAACATACACGCCAGAGGATGTATTAACTTTCTTCGGTTGCGAGAAGATGAGATTGTATTTCGCATCGGGCCCAGGGGGTCCTTGACTCCCTCTTTCCTTCCCGTCCTCGTGTTTCTGCCTGTTTCTGAGACCATCCATTCCAGTTTCTCCCAGTTCCTCATGCCCCGTCCCTCGTTCCCCCATCCCTCCTCGTCCGCGTTCGCCTCCTTCCCCCATCATCCCAATCGCCTTCCCTCGTCCGCCTGTGCGCGGAGGGCGCCGTTCCCGCAACGGCGCCCTTCTTGAGAATGGATCGGTCTCTGTGGGATCACGTCGCGATGCCCCCCGAATCGGCGCTTCCTTGCACGTGCCCAGCCGGCTGCGGCAAACCCCGCCGCCGTGCCAGCGAGGGGGGCCATCCCGCATTCATCACAATTCTTGACGCTTCGCGTATCCCCACCAGCCCATCCAGAAGTAACTCGCGGATATGTGTCGCGAAAGGTTCTCGGATGTCGGTTGAAGCCATCGTGGGGCTCTCTGGGGGTCCTCGCGGATCCTTTTGGGGCGCTCTTATGCTTGTTACGGGCTCTCGGAGGGCCGGGGGACCTCTGAGGGAAATCATCGTGCACAGACGTGCAACCATGAGGGAGGACACCTGCGACACCATAGGGGGGGGGGGTCAGCCGTGAAACCATGAGGGGGGGGGCAGACGTGCAACCATGAGGGGGGGGCACGCGCGAAACCGCACAGGGGGACAGACGTGAAGCCACTAGTGGGGGTTGACGTGCAACCGTGAGGGAGGACACGCGCGAAACCATAGGGGGGGACAGACGTGAAACCACTAATGGGGGGCAGACGTGCAACCATGAGGGAGGGCACGCGCGAAACAGCACAGGGGGACAGACGTGAAACCACTATAACGGGGGAACAGACGTGCAACCATGAGGGAGGACACGCGCGAAGCCACGCACGAGGGGACAGACGTGAAACCACTACGGGGGACACACGTGCAACCACGAGGAACGACACACATGAAACCACACAGGGGGGGGACAGACGTGAAACCATTAGGGGGATTGCTCGGCTACCTTGGACCATCTTGGATGTCATCTTGCGCCCACTGAGGCCTCCTTTGAACATTCGTGGGCCATCTTGTTTGCCCGAGCTACATGCCGAAAGGGGGCTTTGGAAGAAACCGCAAAGAATGCGCTAAACCACCTACAGCCAGAGAGCTGGCAAGCTGCACATATCTCCATCGCTTTCGTTTTTTAGCCGAGGAGCTTCTTATTGCTCACACATCATAATCTGCACATGTTATCAGAGTTACAGCTCGAGTCTCTCTGGCGCGTGGCCCAGTGCCAGCAATGCCCGCCAAGAAGCGCCAACCCGCCGCTTCCGCCACCCCCAGCCGCAGGGGATCCAGGCGGAGTCCGGGCAATGGTTCCCCAGGCAGCCCTGCGGCCCCAGCAACGAGCTCGCCGCAGGCCGTCGCGAGGAAGTCGGCGTCAGCGGCCCGGGCCGCCAGCTCAGAGCGGCCCCGGCGCGCGGAGGAGGATGAGGAGGAGGATGGAGAGGGGGGGGGGGGGAAGGAAGAGGACGAGGAGGATGAGGAGGGGGAGGAGGAGGAGGAAGAGGAGGACGAGGGGGGGGGAAGAGGAAGGCCAGGAGGAACAAGTCAGTCCCAGCCCCCTGCAGCCACTCCCAGCGGGTGGGAGCTTTAATGCATGCCTGCTCAACCGAGGCTGGAGGCGTTCCAGGGGGGCCATCAATGGCTTTGACTGCGCCCCCCCCCCCTTCGAGAAAGGATACCGAGGGGGGCAAACAATATGTGTTAAAGGTGCCCTCGGTCTTAACGTCCTCCTCCTCCCCCCCCCTCCTCCCATTGTCGAGGGGGCCTTTCTGGGTCCTCCTGTCCTCTTGGGCGCCCTGCTCTTTGGGGGGCTCTCGGATCCCGAGAATGCTGAGGCGCCCATGCCCGAACTGAAGTTTAATGATCTCCAGCCGATTGAGCTGCACCGAAAGCCTTTCGAAAGCTTTGCGCATTATAAATGGCCCGGCTCTGAGGCGCACCCCCGCTTCACCCTGGCACGAGGTAGGCGCCACCGGAGGACACTCTCTGCCCCCTTGCTGGTGCACATATGCGATGGTACAAGAGGACGCGCGCAATTCAGAACATGCGGGGGGAATCGGAGGGGGTGGAATCCGAGGGGGCCCGAAAGCGCTCGCAGACGTGCGCGTGAGACCGTTGTCAGTTCCGTAGTTTTTGGCTCAAGCCTCGCTCTGTTCCCCCCAAGGACGTCGTGTAGGCGGTCTACCAATGCGTACCAGCGGCCCCTGCATGGACGTCGTCGTGCACGTGGTGTACTTGCATAGAAGGACAGCCCGGGAGGCCGTCAGCGGCCGCTTCGTGGACGCGGTCGTGCACGTGGTCTACTTGCTGGAGCCCGTCGTGCACGTGGTCTACGTCGTCGTGCGCGTGGTCTACATGGTTTTCGTGGTCTTCGTGGTCTACTTGCTGGACGTCGTCATGCACGTGACCTACTTGCACGACGTCGTCGTGCAAACGGTATACTTGCCGGACGTCGTCGTGCACATGTTCTACGTGGTCTACTTGGCGGACGTCGTCATTGCACGTGGTCTATACTTGCTGGGCGTTGTCGTGCACGTGGTCTACTTGCCGGACGTCGTCGTGCACGTGGTCTACTTGCTGGAGGTCGTCGCGCACGTGGTCTACGTGGTCTATTTGCTGGACATCGTCGTTGCATCTGGTCTACTTGCTGGACGTCGTCGTGCACGTGGTCTACGTGGTCTACTTGCCGGACGTCGTCGTTGCACGTGGTCTATACTTGCTGGACGTCGTCGTGCACGTGGTCTACTTGCCGGACGTCGTCGTGCAGGTGGTCTACTTGCTGGAGGTCGTCGCGCACGTGGTCTACGTGGTCTATTTGCTGGACATCGTCGTTGCATCTGGTCTACTTGCTGGACGTCGTCGTGCACGTGGTCTACGTGGTCTACTTGCCGGACGTCGTCGTTGCACGTGGTCTATACTTGCTGGACGTCGTCGTGCACGTGGTCTACTTGCTGGACGTCGTCGTGCACGTGGTCTACTTGCTGGACGTCGTCGCGCACGTGGTCTACGTGGTCTATTTGCTGGACATCGTCGTTGCATGTGGTCTACTTGCTGGACGTCGCCGTGCACGTGGTCTACGTGGTATTCATGACAACGGCGCACGCGATGACGGCCGCCCCCTTTGCAGTAGATTGGCCCTCCCGCGGCTGGCAATCATCAGTGTGGTGGCCGACGCGTGCCGCAGAACATCAACCCGTCCTACACGGGCCGCCATTTGCGCCGGCCTTTTTTAACCGGGCTCGAGGTCTACGCACCGTGATCAATTTGCCTGCGGCAAGTTCCGCCGCGCTCTCGGGGCGGTCCTGGGCGCTCTTGGGGCTGTATTGGAGCCCTCCTGGGCCCCTCTTGGGGCCCGCAGGGGCCATCTTGGAGCCATCTTGAGGCCTTAAGAGAACGTCGGACGCGAAAAGGCTATGATGCAAACACATTGAAAAACACATTGGATTGGAAGGATTCTGGCCTCTTGGGTGCTTTCTTGGGGAGCTCTGAGGGCACTTGGAGCCGTCCAGGGGCGGTCTTGAGAGCTCTCGGAAGCACGTCGAAACCATCCTGAACCATCTTGGGATATCTGCCTCGACCTTAGAGGCCATCTTGAGCTCTTGGAGGCCCTCTTAGAGCAATCTTAGGCCATCTTGGGCGCTCCAACGCCGCGCAGGGCGCCCCGTCCAGGCCCGGGGGGGAGGGTAGAGGGGGAGGGGGTCCGAAGGGGAAGAAAGGGGGTTAGCAGAACGAGCTCCTTAGACCACTCGCGCCCTAAAGGGTTGGTGGGATTGTGCCATTTCGGCGGCTGCCGTGGCGTGCCTGGTTTATCTGTCGTGCCATTCTGGGCCTGCCGGGCGCTGTGGTGGGTGCCGAGGAGGCGCTGGGGCGGCCAGAAGCTCTCGGAGGGGGCGCCCGTGCAACCGAGTGCGATGAGTTGTGTGTGCGTGTGTGGGGGGGCGGGGTCGGGGGGGCCTTTGAGAGGGCGCAGCATCTGGCAATCTACCGCGCCTCAGTCGACGTGCCAGGCGGCGGGGTGGCGGATCCATTGTTTGTGTGTCGTGCTGGGGCTCCCTTGAGCCTTCCCATGATCGAGAGCATGGCCCCCTCTCCCATTTCATTCCCTCCCCTTCTTCCCCTCTCCCCCCCCACTCCACTTGCACATCCCGCTTGCCTATCCCCCCTCCCTCCTCCCCATTCCCCCCTCCCCCAGTGACCTCGCCCTCCCCTCCTTCTCCCTCCCCCCTCTCTCCCCCTTCCCCCCCGCAACCTCCCCTGGCATGCCCTCCCGCGGCTTCTGCCAGGCAGTTGCCATGTCTTTTTCTGTTGTATGTTTCTTCACGCGGCATAGCCCGTCAACGCGCGTGCGCTACGGAGCGCGCATCAGCAAGTACACGCCAGAGGCGTGGGCCAAGGAGCACGCATGTCACGACGTAGAGAGAAAAATGCATTGAGTCCGACAGGCGCCCGGCGCCCTCGGCGCCTGCCATAGATCCGAAGACCCGCCGAGGTGCACCCGGGGGGGCCGCAGAAGAAGCGCAGGTCGGGGAAGTCGAACTGGGGCAACAGGGTACACGCAGGCACCAAGTCTGGACGCAAGGGGGGCGGGGCGGGCGGCGGCTACCAGGAGATGTCAGCCAAAATCAAAGACTACCAGACCTCTTTTGCGGAGATTGCCAACGCAAAGAGAACCGTCGAAGAGAGGAACTCGCATCTCGAGGCGGCACTCGAGAGCGAAAGAGCTGCCCACGCTGCTGCCCGCGAGGAAATCGACCAGCTCACCACGTGGGTACATACTATTGTGCACATTGCTCAGCATGTTCAAGATTGGGGGGATTTTGCAAGGGCCCTTGACGACGGCGAGGACATGCAGGGTCTGCGCCGTTGAGGTGGCCGGCCGCTAATCATCGGGGGTCCACTGTCGGGGCGCCTGTGAAAACCTGTTGCGTGTTCATGGGGCGCAACGAATCCTCGTGTCGCTCGCGCGCGTGATCCCAATCACGGGTCCGGGGAATCCTGGCAAATCCTGGGTATCGTTGCCTTGGTTGCATGTTCCTCATGCGTGTCGGTTTCCCCCGTATCGGTTCTCTTTCTCGCATTCGTTCTCTTCGTTGCCCCCCTCATGCCCCCTCCCTCCTCGCCCCCCCTCCTTCTCGCATTCGTTTTCTTCCCTCCCCCTCTTGCCCCCTCCTCCTCGTCCCCCCATGGCCCCCATCCTGGGAATCCCCGGTTTGCGTGTTCGCGCACTCGGGCGCCGCGTCGCGACTCAATGCATTTTTCCCGTTCTCGCGTGCGCGAGAGCGTGGGCGACCTGCTGAGCTTCGACAAGAGGAACGCAAAGAGTGCGCACTTCTCACGGCATCATTTGTTGGATTGCGCCCCCACTGGGGCAAAAATCAAAAATTGCATGATGCCGACGGCAATTGCAGCGGCGGTGGCGGCGACGGCATTGGCGGCGACGGCGCCGACGACGGCGACAGTAAGGGCGGCGATCACGACGGCGACGTTGGCTGTCGTGCTCGCCGTCGGCGGCGTTGGCAGACTTGGCGGCGACGGCAAGCTTACCATTCACGTATCCTCAAACACGCTTTTCTCTTGTCGGCGTCCACGGGGTTTCTGTGGGGCACGGCTTTATTTTGATTCTTAGCGGAGCTATCGCTTCCATATGCTTCCGGACACGATGTGTAAGAACCGAGAGCGCCCCATTTCCTGGAGCCTTCAGACAGCTCCGAGACGGCTCCAAGAGAGCCCCAGGAGCGGCCACTGAGGGGACCGAACGACTCACCCGCGACGCGACCCACCCGCAACCCACCCGCGACCCATCGGCGACGGAAACTACCCGCGACTTGCCCGCGCCGGGACCCGCCCGCGCCGCGACCCACCCGCCGGGGCGACAACAGCAAACACAACAAGCATAATCCCCTTTGCGGATCCCCGCTTCAGCCACGCACCGAGGGGCATTGTAAGATTTGTCGGCCCCACCCTCACTCTGACGTATGTGAATACACGGCGCATTCCGTATACTACCAAACGTGCGGGTGTATATTTGAATAACTCCTGCACGCACTGCTCTCGCACCAGAATAAATACCATAGCGCGCGACACCACGGCGTATCGGAACCGTACGTACAGCCGCAGGAATGTAAACAATGTTCCGACGCTTTGACGAGTATGCCCCAAGCAGGATCGTATGGTGCTTCCGTTTTGTACAGACTTCAAGGCTTTTGACGTTCCGCATATCCGCGTCAGCCCATCCAGAGACGATGATGCCTTGACGGTCTACCTGTGTGAGTTGACTAAGGAAATTGAAACAATGCGATTTGGAAAAAGATTATGCAGGTCCGCATGCAAATATGTATACACATATATGCAAATATTTATACTAACAATGTGTGCTTCGCATGCTTACGCCCCCGTCCATTCTGGCACACACCTACACGTTTCGTGGCCCCATAGGGAGCTCCACCGCAGGCCCCAGTGTTGGCGGTGCGTTTTAAACGGGATCGCCACTCCCGCCCACTGTGAAGCCAGAGGTGGGAGCGGACGCGGAAAGATTTTTCGCAGTGGCGCGTTGTGAGGGGGGGGGTCTTTTTTTCAAAAAATCTTTGTTTCCTGGCCGCCCCGCCCATTTGCAAGGCTGGAGGACCGAGGGGACACGGAATGCGATTTCGCAGTGGTCGGTTTTGAAGGGGGTGACCATGGTTTTTTGTTTGTTCGAATGTCGGCTTCTGCGCCCCTTGCCCATTGTACGGCCGGAGGTGGAGTTTGACACGGAATGCGATTTCGGAGTGGTCGGTTTTGAAGGGGATGACCATGGCTTTCTTTTGATTTTTTGGTTTCTGCGCATTTTGCCCATTGCGCAGCTGGAGGTTGGGGATGACGCGGGTTGCGCTTTCGCAGTGGTCGGTTTTGAAGGTGGAGACCATTGCCTTTTTTTTGAATTTTGGCTTTTGCGCCCCCCGCCCATTGCACGGCCGGAGCTAGAGGTGGACACGGAATGCGCTTTCGCAATGGTCGGTTTTGAAGGGGGTGACCATGGCCTTTTTTTGATTTTTTGGTTTCTTCGCATTTTGCCCATTGCACGGCCGGAGGTGGGCGGTGACACGGAATGCGACTTCGCAATGGTCGTTTTTGAAGGGGGTGACCATGGCCTTTTTTTGATTTTTTGGTTTTTGAACCGTGTGCCCATGGCGCGGCCAGAGGCTGCGGATGACACGGAATCGACTTCGCAGTGGTCGGTTTTGAAGGGGGTCACCATGGCCTTTTTTTGATTTTTTTGTTTGCGCGTTTTTTGCCCATTGCAAGGCCGGAGCTAGGGGTTGACACGGAATGCGCTTTCGTAATGGTCGGTTTTGAAGGGGGTGACCATGGCCTTTTTTTGATTTTTTGGTTTCTGCTCATTTTGCCCATTGCACGGCCGGAGAAGGGGTAGACGCGGAGTGCGCTTTCGCAGTGGTCGGTTTTGAAGGTGGAGACCATTGCTTTTTTTTTTTTTTTTTTTTTTTTTTTTTTTTTTTGAATTTTGGCTTTTGCGCCCCCCGCCCACTGCACGGCCGGAGCTAGAGGTGAACACGGAATGCGTTTTCGCAATGGTCGGTTTTGAAGGGGGTGACCATGGCCTTTTTTTGATTTTTTGGTTTCTTCGCATTTTGCCCATTGCACGGCCGGAGGTGGGCGGTGACACGGAATGCGACTTCGCAATGGTCGTTTTTGAAGGGGGTGACCATGGCCTTTTTTTGATTTTTTGGTTTTTGAACCGTGTGCCCATGGCGCGGCCGGAGGCTGCGGATGACACGGAATCGACTTCGCAGTGGTCGGTTTTGAAGGGGGTCACCATGGCCTTTTTTTGATTTTTTTGTTTGCGCGTTTTTTGCCCATTGCAAGGCCGGAGCTAGGGGTTGACACGGAATGCGCTTTCGTAATGGTCGGTTTTGAAGGGGGTGACCATGGCCTTTTTTTTTTTTTGATTTTTTGGTTTCTGCTCATTTTGCCCATTGCACGGCCGGAGAAGGGGTAGACGCGGAGTGCGCTTTCGCAGTGGTCG